CCAGGCAGTGGTGGTGCAGACTATTAATCCTAGCACTCAGGAGGCTGATATAGGCAAATCTCTGAGTTTGAGGTCAGCCTGGTCTACAGAGTGAGTTCTGGGACAGCCAGGACTATATAGAGAAGCCCTGTCTCCAAAATCAACTGAAACAAAGCAAGACAAAGTATCTAATTCTTTTCGGTCTTTTTTCTTACTCTGAGCCAAGTTTTTGAAAAGAAGAACCAATGACTTAAGAGTGATAAGGCACAGCAGGGGTGAGATGGCCGACACTGACCGGCAACTGGACGGAACATAGACTCACCTGGTTGATGAGCCCTGGACAGTTGGTATTAGCTGAAGCGGGAAGACCCGCCCACTGTGGGTGGCACCATTCCCTGGCTAGGATCCTGGCCTCTACAGTGGATGCAAATGGATAGGAGCACGGAGTGGCAGCATGCGCTCACCACTGTGTCCTGATGGTGGGAGAGATGTGGCCAGCCACTTTGAGCTCTTGTTGTGACCTCCGTGATGGACTGCACCCTTGACCTGTAAGCCACAACGATCCCTTTCTCCCTTAAGCTGTTTCTGTTGGGGCATTTTTATCACAGCGACAGAAAAAGGATCGAAAACATCCAGGGCTTCGGATCGCTGGGATAATACCCTCTTCTAGCAATGTGAAGAATTTAGAACTCCAGAGGGTTAGATTAGTGATTCTCAACCTTCCTAACGCTGCCGTGACCCTTTAATACAGTTCCTCAGGCTGTGGTGACCCCCATCACAAAAATACTGTGTTGCTACTTCATAATCATAGTTTTGCTACTGTTGTGAATTGTAATGTAAATACCTGATGCAGAATATCTGATATGCGACCCCTCTGAAAGGGTTGTTTGACCAAAGGGATCTCAACCCACAGGTTGAGAACCATTGATTTACATGGCTGCAAGAAACTGAAGGGCATGTGGGGGTCCACATGTGGTGTGTGTGTGTGTGTGTGTGTGTGTGTGTGGTGTGTGCTGTGTGTGCTGTGTGTTTGTGCTGTGTGTGTGTGTGTGAAGGTCAGAGAACACTTTTAGGAGTTGCTTCTCTCCTTCCATCATATGTATCTTGCTGACCCATTGTCTTCATTTTTTTTTTTTTGTTTTTGTTTTTATGTTTGTTTGTTTGAGACATGGTCTCTCTGTGTAGCCTTGGCTGGCCTGGAACTCTCTGTAGACCAGCGGGCTGGTTTCCAACTCAGATCCACTTGTTTCTGCCTCTCAGGTGCTGAGATTAAAGGCATGCAACACCATGCAAGGCCGTCATCTTCATTTTTAAGCACAGCTAAATTAGATGTGCCTAAGTACTCCCATCCCAAGCATACTACTGTTCTAACAGCGTAGAGGGTGAAACATTGATCACAGAAGGAGTCCTAGTGCAAGCCTGAAGTCCTCAGCCTTCTTCTTCGGTTGTTTTGATGTCCTTTTTTGAAACTTTGTATTTGTTGATACTTTGGCTACAATCCTAAAACACAAACTTCTGTCAATTACAGGGTGTGATGGTTACTGTGCCAATTTGATACAACCTGGGAAGAGACCCAATGAGGGGCGTCTATATTGGGTTAGCCTGTGGCTGTGTCTATGAGAGATTGCCTTAACTAATTGGTGTGGGAAGACCCAGGCCCCATTCCCAGGCAGGGGAATCCTAAAGTATGTAAGAATGGTATGGTGGTTGTTGGGCGGTGGTGGTGCACACCTTTAATCCCAGCTCTGGGGAGGCAGAGGAAGGCGGATCTCTGTGAGTTCTAGGCCAGTCTGGTCTACAGAGTTTGTTCCAGGACAGGCTCCAAAGCTACACAGAGAAACCCTGTCTCAGAGAAAAAAAATAGTGGTGTGGTGGTTTGAATGAAAATGGCCCCCATTGACTTAAAGGAAGGATTCGGACATGTGACCTTGTTGGAGTAGGTGTGGCCTTGTGAGGAAAGCGAGTCACTGGGGTGGGCTTTGAGGTTTTGGAAGCTCAGGCCAGCGCCAGTGGCTCACCCTCTCTTTTCAATGCCTGCCTATCCTGATGTAAGACTCTCGGTCTCTTCTCCAGCACCAAGTCTGCCTGTGTGACGTCATGTTTCCTGCCATGATGTAATGACTAATAGAAATCATCATCATGGCGTCTCTTCACAGCAATAGAACCCTATCTAAGACAGGCGGAGGAATAGAGCTGGGCTCAAACAAGCTGGTGAGCATGCATGCCTTTGTTTCTCTCTGCTCTTGATTGTGGGTGTGTTGTGACCAGCTGTTCTAAGTTCCTGTCTTGACGTCCCCACTGTAATGGACTGTGCCTCAAGCTGGAAATGGAAGTAAGCCCCCTTTCCCTCTTAGTGTGATTTTGTTTGTTTGTTTGCTTGTTTTGTCAGAGTGTTTTACCCCAGCAGCAGAAATGACTCTAAATCAGAAGTTTAGCCTGCCAACTTGTCACTACTGGAAGCCCAATGTAAAAGTGATCTCAGTAAAACAGGGAGAAGCTTCCCCTGAACAACTTGTCAAAGAAGGAGCTTGGCTGGGCTTTGAGACAGAGCTCTTGAGAGGACTCAAGTTCAGTTCCCAGCATCCATGCATGGTGGCTTCTATGGATCTGATGCCCTCTTATGACATCCACAGGTACTGTACTCACATGCACATACCCACAAACAGAAACATACATAGGCACACTTTTTAAAAGTACGAATAGATTCCAGGTAAACAGCCTGATCAACCAGGTCAGATTCCTCAGATGCTTAATTTTGGTCAAGAAGGTAGGCTTCAGGCTTAGGTCCATGCCTGCCCCGTCTCCTCCTTGTAGGATCATAGTAGACCAAGTGTAAAGACCCTACAATGAGGAGCGAATAAGCAACAATGTGTTCAGAAACTGTACCAGACAAGGGAGGAAACTAAAACCAAAATAATACAGGGTTAGAGGCCAAACCAACCTGGGCCACAAAGACACCAGCAAAGAGCAGGCTGGTTCTGGTTTGTGCTAGCCCTTCCCAACGCAGAGGAGCTTGGGCAGAAGCAAGCACCCTTCCCACTCACTGGGCTGGCTGTTTCCTCAAAGTATTGGGCTCCTGGCAGTGCTTTCTGATAGGGACATAGCGCAGACATGTTCACACTGGTCCAACAGATGACAGACTGGGGAAATGGTTGAAGAAAGTGTTTGTGGAAGCTGTCAGCTGTCTTGTGAACATTTAACAGACCCCGTGCTGACAGCCCAGGTAATGGAGTCAACCTGTGGCCCTCGTTATCCTCCTGAGGAGGACTGACGAAATACCACAGCTGGATCTACCCCCTCCTCACCTTCTGGCCTCGGTCTCATGGGTGTCTATAAAGTTTAAGATTGCCAAAGCTGTGATGAGAGGGATTACGTCTACCCCGTTTGGCTAAACCATATATAGATCCACTGGGCCTGAGTGTCAGGTAAGAAGCTTGGTTCTCTGGGGCAGGGACAAGAATAACCGTGTGACCAGAGCAGAGGACAAGGTCTGGTAGTGAGGGTGGGCTCAGCAGATACACTTGTTCCTGGGGGGCCATGTAGGGATGTGGCTGTGCTCTGAGTGACAAGGAGCCAGGGTGGGTTCTGGTAGGGTGTATCTGTGTGCTCTGTATGTGTGCCTGTGCGTGTGCATAGGTGTGTGCACATGTGTGCATGAACGTGTGTTGTAAGTGTGCTCTGTGCATGTGCACACATGCATGTGTGCGTGTGTGTGCATGTGTGTGAAGCTCAGACTGGTTTCCAACTCACTACAAAGCCAAAGCTGGCCTTGAACTCCTGATCCTCCCACCCCCACCTTCTAAGTGTTAGGGATTGCGGGCCTGGTAGGCAGGGTAGGACTGACAACCAAAAATGAGCATGGAAGCCAGAGGGCCAGGTGGGGCAACACCTTGGGAGACGGTAGGAGCAAATGAGGAGGTACGGGGCGGGGGGGGCACAAATGCCAGGACTCCGGAGTGTGTGACTGGGGTGTACGTGTGGGAAGGAGGGTCCAGCTCCACCTGGGTCCCCATTTTTTTAAAATATTTATTTATTTATTATGTATACAATATTCTGTCTGTGTGTATGCCTTCAGGCCAGAAGAGGGCACCAGACCCCATTACAGATGGTTGCGAGCCACCATGTGGTTGCTGGGAATTGAACTCAGGACCTTTGGAAGAGCAGACAATGCTCTTAACCTCTGGGCCATCTCTCCAGCCCCCTGGGTCCCCTTTTTTATGGCACTTGAGAGAAAGTCTGTGATCTTTTTTAAAAAAATATTTTATTTATTTATTTAGCGTGTGTATGAATGTTTTGTCTGTATGTATATCTGTTTGTCACATGTGTGCCTGGTGTTTGTGGAGGTCAGAAGAGGGCATTAGATCCCCTAGAACTGGGGTCACAGGTGGTTGTGAGCCACCATGTGAGTGCTGGGAACTGAACCCAAACCATTGAGCTATCTCTTCAGGCCGTGATCTTCCTTTCTTGACAGACACATCAGTCACTCTTAGGTAAGTAGAACCCTGATCAATGGTCTTCAAAAGAAACTGCCCTCTAGGCTTGGAGTCAAGCCCTCCTGGGGGGGGCGGGGGGCGGGACGGGACGGGATGGGACGGGTCGGAGACGGACAGAGAGACAGAGTAAAACGGCGCGGGGCTGACTCTCAAAGTAATGTGACCACAGGATCCTGAGGCCCTGCTGTGATCCCCACCACAGTCAGGACTGTAGGCTTGGGGCGGTCCTGAGTGGCCCTGGTCCGGGTGAGGTGGACAGTTCCCCAGCTCACACGGAAACGCAGGTCAGGACGGGCGGGGGATGGGCTGGGAAGTGTGGTTTGCACGAATGTGTAGGAAAGGCTCCCCTGGTCGCTCTGATTCAGTTTCCTCCTCTCTGCCCCCTCCCATCACCACCGGGAGCCCGCCTCCCGAATCCCCCTCTCCTCCCCTCAGCAGCAGCCCCGGCAACCCCTCCCTTCCCGCTCCTCCCTCTCCATCCCACGTTTTCCAGCCCGGCCCTTAGAGTGGGGGCCTTCGGGGCTGGCTGGACTGGGGCTCCTGTGGTCTGGTGTTGGTGGCGGTGACCTGTTGCCACCCTGCAGCCGCACACCCTCGAGCCATGTCTTGGGTCGCTCTGCTCGGCCTCATGGCCGTGCTACTGCTGTTGCTGTTGCTGCTGAGCCGCCGGCGCGCGCGGTGAGTGTCCCCGGGACAGGGTGGGGAAGAGAAGCCAGGTGAGGCCGAGGGTTGGAGGTGTGAGGCGGGGACTGAGTTGCCATTACCCACGCTGCAACCTCCACGGTGTCCCGTGCCCACTTATCTCTAGACCCACTGTAGCTCGACCCGGGTGGGAATGCTGAGGCTGGACTCGAGGGTTTGCTAGGGACACACTGATCCTGAGGGCTTCCCACTCATGGAAGACGGTCCCATGATTCACGACACACACACCAGAGGAGAAACTGAGGCCCTCCAGTCCCACAGACTGGGTAAGGTCGAACCAGATCCCTGGTCCTTAAAGTTTAGTGCCCTTGGAGACACTGCCTTTTGGAGAAAAACTAAACACTTCTCTTCATGCGGGAGAGTTCAGCTGGCAGTAAGTCTTTGTATAAAGTATTTTAAAGTTAATTTGAATCGCTCAGGACCAGAATACATTTGACTTAAACCAAGGGCCCTCCTCGTCCTGACTCTCCTCCTTTCTCCAGGCCTTTCCTGTTGCTCAGTTTGGGAGGAACTTTCCAGATTTTTTTTTTTAAAGAAAAGAAAAAGAAAAAAAAAAGAAACGTAAAAATCAAAACAAACAAACAAAAACAAACAAACAAAGCCCAGCCACATACACACTCTTTCAGACCAGTTTGGAAGTTAGGGAGAAGTGGCAAGTGTTATCGCACTTCCTTCGGCTACTGCTGCAGCAGCTCAGGGATCACATCCGACATTCTTGTGGGATGTTTGTTTAAAAGCCAGCCCTGGTCCACGGCTGGTCGCTGAGTTTCAGACTGTGGGAGTCCATCAGCCTTCTCAGTCAGCTGCCAGGGTCGCCTGGAGTAGTCCCACCCTGCATCCTCAGCTGGTTCAGCAATTGCTCCCTCTGTGGCTCCAGCTCTCCCGAGTTTACATCGCAGCACCTTAAAATCTCAGAAACACTGAGAACCTCACATTGCAGACTGTGTGAGTTGAGATTTCCAACAGTCAGCTCATTCCAGGCACTTTTCCAGGTGAAATTTAAACTATGTGTTTGCTTATCTGCCCCAAAAGGAGGGAAGGAAAATTCAAAAGCCGTTTCTGTAAGGAATAGCTGGGTGTCCTCAGCTGCTGGCTCGGTCTGCACCAGATCTGTCTGTGGTTTCAGCTTCCAGAGTTTCTTTCCTCACACCAGATGTTAGACATCTGTTCATGCTTCCGTCCCGGTCACCTGTGCGCCTCTTTAGCCTTTCTGTCCATGTTTTTGTCTGTGGACTTTTTGGTTGTTGTGAGAGATTTCTTTTTAAACAAATTACTTTTACTTATTTATTTGTGTGTGTGCGTGCGTGTGTGTGTGTGTTTGTGTGTGCGCATGTGCATGAGCACACACACCACAACACACATGTGGAGGTCAGAGGATAAGTTGGAGGCAACAGTTCTCTCACCGTGTGGGTCCTGGGGATCCAGCTCAGGTCAGTAGACTTGGTGGTAACCACCTTTACCCACCGAGCCATCTCGCTGATCCTGTTTCTATAGCTTTCCGCATCTCATGTATGGCGCTCTGGTTTGCCTGCAGGGGTGTGTGACCTGTGCTATGCCTTGGGGCAGGTAGGACATCTAGGAAGGGTGGACATCCAGGTTCTGGCCATTCTCCCAGCAGGATGTCCCCAGTCTGTGGGGCAAGTGAATGTCCTCTGCCCCAGTTCTGTGGTTAAAGTGATGATGATGACGATGATGACGATGATGATGATGATGATGACGACGATGACGATGATAACAGTGTCCTGGGGTGGGGGTGGGGGATGCAACCTTCCAGTGGTGCAGATTCTTGTGGTCTGACGATTTGAAAGCTCCTTTATCTGTGGTTTTTATGCCTCTGGGCATTAGCAAAGATTCTTAGTGCGGCACAAAGAACCATGGGGAAAAAGCAGAAGGAACCCAGCAGGGCAATTTCTTTTTCCAAAAGGGCTACACCATGACCCAAGCCAGGCTCGCAACAGCTTGTCTGGCCATCTGTCTTTTGGTTCCAACCGTCTGTCCATTTCCAAGACACAGCCCTCACGTGCTGTAAATTCACATGAGCCTCCCAGGTCTGGCCACCTCAGTCATTTCCTGATGATGTGTTACTGGTGCTGGAGTTCATGGCTGGGAAAACTCTAGGTCCCCTCTGAAAACCTGTTAAGAACATCCTACAAAACAGTGTGTCAAACATTCAAAAAATCCACCACGGTGAACTGGTATCACTTCCTTAGTTTGACATAAAATGCGTTGACCTTCTCACTGGCAATAGAGCCAATGTTGGCATCTCTCTGGAGCTCCCATTTCCACGACCACATCAGACATCCAGCAAGGTGAAGAACCAAAACCAGAGAAGGATTGGGACCTGGGACCAAATGCCTGTGGTATAGGAAATTCTATGGGTGCAGTGGCCCCCTCAAGGACTCAGTGGTACCAGGAAACTTTAGGGGTGCTGCCATCTTGGCTCATGTCATGTGGTTGGTTCACGGTCTTCACCATCTTGATGTTGTCACCTGTCAAGACGGCAACCAAGGCACACTGTTGCCTCCATCTTGATGAGGTCACCAGACAAGATGGGAACAAGCCGCAGGGTTACTTTGTGTTTCCTATGGGCTCAGCTCTATGGTGAAATGAGCCCACCCACACTGGACAGACATTCTTGTGGGATCTGTGTAGTTCATGGGCTCAGGGTGGACTGTCACCCTCTTAATTTTTCAAATGAGCATCTGAGTCTGATTAGCATTAGGATAGAGCAGCGGAAGTTACCAGCAAACTGAAGAAGCAGAGGAAGCAATTCTGTTGTCCCAATCCAAGGAGGGAGTCCCTGTAGCTTACCACAAATTATACTGGGAGACAAACAACAGCGTCCAGGTGTTTTAATGTCCCCTGGGTTCTGAGGTCCAGTCTCTTGCTGGGCTGGGAGTCCATGAAGGAAATGGAGTGAAAGGGGAGCGTGCCCAGTGCCTGTAGGAGGGCACCATTTCTCAGGAAGCCTAGGAAGAAACTGGCCTGGAAAAAGTGACCTTGGTGCCATTCTATCACACCTGAGCATGGCACGGCCTGGGACTGGCAGGGGTTGGTTTTCTTTTTAATTTTATGTGTCTGTATGTTTTCCTCACATGCATGCCTATATGCCATGTATGTGTCTGGTGCCCAGAGAGGCCAGAAGGGGGCACCAGATACCCTGGAACTACAGTTACAGGTGGTTGTGAGCCATTAAGTGGGTGCTGGGAACTGAACCTGGGTCCTTTGAAAGCAACAAGCGCTCTTAACCACTGAGCTGTCTCTTTAGCCGCCATTGGTAGGAATTTAAGTCATTGAGAAACCAACTTGTTAAAATAGTTAATCCTGATTTAAAACCTTTGCAGCTGTGTGTGGTGTTTTTACCCAGTCAGAAAAGCAGCTGCCTGGAACCATGTGGTCCCAGACAGTGTTGGACCTGACCACACAGAGTGGATGTCTCTTGTCCCTTTCTCCAAAGTCTCCTGGGCTCTCGGAAGGAACTGGTCGGAAAGGGACCCACGCCCATAAAAGGGAGATAGGAAATCACACGTAGAGTTTTGAGGTCTCTTGCATTGTTCAGTCTCTCCTTTGGTGGAAAAGGAAGAGAACGTTGAATGGGAACCTGTGGGCTGGCCAGAGGAGTTGGTTTCTATTTCCTTTCTTTTTCTTTTATATTTTTGACCTGATTATTTTACATCCCAATCCTTAGAGATCAAGCCCCGATTTTTGTATCAAAATACAGAGTCCATTCATGTAATATTTTCCTGGGCCCTTCCCTGAACTGCTGGAAATTTTTCATTCTGGTATTGTTACTGATCAGAAAGAGTTTCATTTGTCCCAGCCCCTGTGGACCCCAGCAATGGGCCATGGGATGTGTCTCCCCCAAGCGAAAGGATCCAAGTGGATTTGAAATCCAGGATGAACCTTAAAATCGCCAGAAGAGAATAATCTTGATGCCGCACAAAGGAACACACCAACAATGTCAAAGTAACTAGGCAAGGGAGTTTCTTTTTCGTAAAAAGTGTGTGCCGTGACCCAAACCGGGCTAGTGGGCATGCCAGGGCAAGGTCACTTCGTGTCTGTCTTAGCGCACGTCGTGACTGTGTTTCTCCATGGCTGGGGTCCAGTTTCTCAGTCTGTCTTTTAGCGTCCTGTGGTTTTAAGTGAATCTACGCAAAGGAAATGAGGGACTGGTGGGGTGGATCAGCTGCGCCAGTCACTGAGTTCTGGGGATGATGTGGCCTCAGCCAGGGGAGGAGATGAAAAGAGGTCCATAAACGTTTTACAAGGTGGGGGAGATTTATGGAATATTGGCTCTTGGTGGCCTAGCCAGTTTTTTTTTTAATAGAAAAAACCAAACCAAAAACATTCCTCACATGGCACCTGGGAAAGTAATTGAGAAGGTTTGGGAAGACATGGGCGTGGGAGATCCTGGCCACTGGGGCCGACAGTAGGACCCTGCTCACCTGCCTAAAAGCACTCTGGTTATTCCTATTAATATATATATATATACATATATATATATATATTTAATTTTATATGTGTGAGTTTTTTGGCTTGAATGTATGTCTCTAAACCATATGCATGTAGTTCTCAGAAGGCAATGTCAGATCCTCTGGAACTGGAGTTATAGAGGGCCGTGAGCCCTTCATTGTGGGTGCCGGGAATGGAATCTGGGACCTCTGAAAGAATCACCAGTGATTGTAACCACTGAGCCATCTCTCCAGCTTTGGTTACCCTCTTTGTAGAGGGGGACACAGAGGCTCAGGGAAGCCCTATAACCTGTTAGAAGTTCTGCCCTGATTAAGACTCGGGCTGCAGGCCTTTTTCATTCCCTGGAACGACTCCTTTCATTTTCCCTCTGTTGCTTGGCTGATCTGACCACTCAAAAATCCCAGACGATAAGATCCACGGCTCCGAACCAAACAATCCCATGGAAGGAAAAGATAGGCAACATTGGAAGACAAGCACATAGGCGGGACCCAAAGTTTGGGTGG